ACAATAAAACAAAGAGAATAATCCAGATACAACATGAAAATGACCACAGAGTAAAAATGAACTGAAAAATAAAAAAAAAAAATAAGCAAAAAATAAATCAAAGTTAAAAAAATCAAAAAATCGTCGTCCAAAGACGATTGTTGATATTAACAATCGGATAGTCTTGAAATAACTTCTTTTGAAATTTTTTTTTTCATTTTTTTTGCTTATTATAATTTTTTATTCTTTTTATTTTTCAGAGCTTTTTTACTTTGTGGTCATTTTCATTGTATATCTTGATTATTTTATTCATTTTATTGCATGCCCACTGAATGTATGTGAACATATTGAGGTAGTGAAACATAGTGAGGTAGTGAAAAAATATGTATTCCGACATTTTGAAGCAGCGGCTGTCTTGGATTTACAATGATGCAGAATTCATTAAATTGTTTTGTCATAAAAACTAAATGTGTGTACCAAATATCAGATCGATCTGATAACAGGGGGGTGGGTCAAACTTCAATTACTAAATGTGACACAAAAATAAATAAACAAACAGGACAAGCTAAATAAAACCGTTTAAAAATATTGAATAACTTCATGAAATGTCGTAAAAAACGTTTTTTGTGTGTATTTTATATACGTTGAAAATTTTGTGACTATGCTTTCAAATGAATATGTTCAAACATGATTTAATTGAAATAAAATACACAAAATACTATTAAAACAATTTCATGTAGTTGTAAAGAATGAAAACAAAAGTCGTGTTCCTAATTAGATTGCTTATTCCTAAACTAAAAAACTTATTTTATTTCTCAATATTTCTGGTGAATAGACTACTTTGCAATACAGTAATGTTAGACGGATCAATTTTTATTGGATCATCCATGATAAGATCATAGTTATTAACAATCAGCAGTGTGTCTGGCAGGGCGTTAAACAGTCTTGATTATTGAATGGGACTAGATATCATTGTAGAATACAATAAGGAACTAATGATCAAGGGGAAACAAATGCGGGTTAATTTAGACTGGAAAACTTTCCGAGTTACATCCGATTAAGCAAAACATAAATTTTGGAACATGGAGCCACAACATTATGGTCTTGGACCTCATGACGCCGATGTACATGTTCGACACAGTTAAAGTCTGACCCCGCGAAGATTGTAGAATTAACAATAATCCTGAGAACATGCTCGGTAAAAATACCTTTTATACGAAAATCGAACATAGAACGACAGCGGGCAGTTACCAGCTTAGTCAGTACACATTCAGTCTTCCAGGCCGAACTCTATGTAATCTTGCAAGAAGCATTAACTTGAGACCTCAACGAAATGAGTGGATCATCATTTCCACAGGCAGTCAAACTCCATATAGGCCCTGAACCAGCTGTGGTGGTACCAAAATATAAAAACAATGTTTCACAATATTATATGAGCAAAAAATTGCTACCAAAATACAGGTCCGTATTTCAAAGTTCAAAGTTGAGAATATTACCCCAAGTCTGATGGCATCCTATATAAAATTCATATGATTATATTCTAATAATATAATGAAAATGGCAATGGCAACAGATTTCCAATCTTTCTTGTCCAAAATTCAACCTACTCTCTATCTCTTATCGTATCCCCATGCATAGGCTCGAATTTTTGTATAAATTCGCTTGAAAAAATATGTGGTTTCGTTTCATTTAATTGGATACGAAATGGAGGAACTTTTCAGTTACAATTTTCAAGAAGTAAGGAAGTGTTACTTCATACGTAGTACTTAGGTGAAATAAATATTGAATATTGTATCTGATGAACAATTACGTGACCAATCTGAAAGTAATTCAAAAATTTAGCATAAAAATTATGTATGAAAAAAACGTTTTCACCTTCGTCATATTTATGAAGCATTCAATTTTATTAAATATAGAACAAATTCATAAGTCGATTAATAAAAAAATTATACAAAAGGGTTAACAAAAGTATTGCTAATTGCAAAGAATTGTGATATATACGTACCAAATTGAAAGTGATACTTCGGTTCTTGTGTTCATTTTAATGAGAAGTGACAAATTACTAAAAATATTTCGAACCAAGTTACTTCATGACTTTTCGATTGTGAATACTAAAAAACTACCAACGTCTTCTTTGTTCTATTGTTTACACTGGACTCCTTAAAAAATAATCATTTTTATATAGGTAAATAAGCCCTGCTGACATATTCAAGGTAGTTTGTAAATTATAATTGATTTTATATGTTCCACTCGATGAAGTGAAGGGCGGAAATTTGATAGACATGAATATTAGTAATTTATGCTTCAGATCACATTTGAGGGGAACTGTTCCTTTAGCCAAAAAATGAAAATGTTACTGGTGTGTATTAAATTCACCTTATATGCTTTTAGTTGGTAATCGCTTCAGATTACGAAATTATTATCAAATTATTACAGTTATAACTGTAATGAACAATTTAGGTTTGACGCTCATTCAAAGGAAACATTATATTGCTTTTACGAAAAAAAAATAACTACAATGAAAACTCTTTGTAAAGATATGTAGATCAGGTGTTTCTTTCAAATACAAATTGAAAAGGAACCCTTTCGAAATAACTATTTTAATATGAACAATGAATTATACCAACATCACTTGTTGCCATACAGTTTCTACTTCAAAGACTCGTTATTGAATTGAAATATTCTTACAAATGCTACAGATATTGAATAAAAAAGAAACAATGTAATCTATCACTTGTTTCGGCATAGGTTTATATCAAATGTGAAGAAACATATGTATATTTTATGTTTTTTTTTTGTCAAATTATAATACAAAAAGAATATTTGATAAATTATTGTTTGTGGTTGTATGTTTATGAGAGTAAAGAAATTAATTGGATATGTAGAAATTGAAACCTCTGGCTAGAAATGAATCCAACACTTTTGATTCACTAGAACAAAAATGCTGTCTAAAAGTCAGTTGTCATATCCTGATGATGCTAACTTGGTTAGCCAAACGCGCATCGGGAGGCAGCATTTTTGTTCTGGTAATTCAAGGGTTTACAGTAAATTAACTGAATGATATGGTAAATGTACTTTGAATTTTTTATTAATGAATAAAGAAGAATGCAGTTCTTTGAGTTAGATCGGAATATACAACCCATTTATTTTCTTTTCAGCTCACAATGATTATTCGTTCTTTCCACAAATCAGAATTTTTACATCTCTTGAATTTCATACTCATTGTTTATTTCCTGTCATTTTTTGATTTTGTTTTTATTTCCAATAATCTCACTCGAATATTTCGTTCCTAGTATTTTTAGCATTTATATTTTCACTAGCTGACCCAACAAACGTTGTATGCCATATGAATTATTTCAATAGTTTATCAAACTTGATACCAGATCAAAAAATTGTATGTGTAGGGATACACAAATCATCTATACAACCTATTCTTGAGCCGTTTCGGGGAGTATGACCACAAACTCCGTGACACGAAATTTTCATGTATTGAAAGATTATAGCATGTTTTTTTATTCTCATAGATTTCAAATTTGATAGCAGTTTTTCAGATAATGGAATACCAAACCTGTAATATTTATAAATACCATTTTCAGTCAAAATTTGTTAAAAAATTAAAAAGAATACCAATCTGAACCATGACTATATTAGGTTCATGGCAGAAGATATACGTTAAATTGATGAAATCATCAAACCTACCACATCTTGCTGTTCTAGCAATTACAAGTACATATTGCAACAAAACTGTCGTTTCTGATGCATTGTCTAAAAAATACAATAGCTTATTTTTGAATGACATCAGGTCAGTGGGTCTGCTATTCCAAACATTCTTGACATTATTTCATGATTTTGAAAACATGAATTTGTACTTTTTTAAATACTTAATTTGACTGTCTTATCGAGATTACTTCATGTAGGAAACAAACATTGAACGCTGATTCAAAGATGTTCAAGCGCATTTTAATGAATCATCATCAAGGAGCTATAAACAATATTTCAGAAAAGTAATCCCAATTATGAAGTAGATTGTTGTGAACTTTGGTGTTTACTTTTGATATCGATAAATAGCACCAAAGAATTGCCAAATTTCTGGTTTCGAAATATTGGCAATTCATTGAAAAAGTTCGTATTTTCAAACGAACATTATGAATGATGTAGTTTTTTCTTTAGAGATGTTGGGGAATTCAGAACTTGAAAACATTTTTTCATTTATAATACCTATCACAAGATGTTGACTAATCTGACCTCGAAATTGTATGGTGCTGTCGAATAAACGTAACTTGTTTTTGATGATGTAGATGTCATACACAGAAATGCTAAACAAAGTAATTTATTGCTATAAAGTTTCGCTTATAAGAAAAACTTTCAAAAAGTTAATCCTCTAGAAATATCTCTGTATCCGTCACTATAGGTATATTATGTTAATCAATTTCACTACTGCCATCATTCAGTCTTGTTTTGTCATAGGTTTCTGACGTTTTTCGTAATTCATTGTTTAGAGTTCTCTAGGTTATTTTGAATATTTTCAAGTTTTTAGTTTATTAATATTCATCCTGAGAAATGTGAATTAAAACTCTCTATAATTTTATACCACTTTTATATGTGACTAACGTTACTGCAGTTTCGTCTTTCAAGGACATTTTTACACGAATACAATAAACAATTAACATAGAAAGTGTTTATTCTTATTTTTCGTGATGATTTTCTACCACGTAGGTTGTAACGACTACACCCATCAATCTAATAATATTCATCCAGTTGGCTATTACCATTTTCTAGTTATTTCTAGTGATTTAATTCATATTGGAAATTTAAATTCAAAAAAGGCATTTCCAATTTTTTTCGGTACCAAAACAATATGATGACAAAAAAAGCGAGAGTGATTTCGCCGGTAGAGTTTTCCTCGGAGAATTCCCGCGGAGTCACGATGAATTTTTGACACTTTGATCGCTGATAAACCATATAAGTCACCGACTTTTAGCTTTATGCGATCCTCGACACTTATCATTTCCTTTTTTCAGGGATGTTCGCTCCATCGTACTTCACAAAGGTGGCTCCGGATTGGGATTCAATATAGTTGGAGGAGAAGATGGAGAAGGGATTTTCATTTCGTTCATCTTGGCCGGAGGACCTGCGGATCAGTGTGGCGAACTTCGAAGAGGTGATCAAATAATCAGCGTAAATGGAGTGAATCTTAGGAATGCCACCCACGAGGAGGCGGCTCTAGCACTTAAGGTGAGAACCAGCCCCTTTTTGCTGAAAAGGCTTTCTTAATGTAATAATTGTTTTTCGTAAATATAATCGTAATTATAATAAAATCAATTTTATCGATGCCGGCCTACATATTTCCAATACAAGCAAAAATGGTACGAATATATATGTACTTTAAAACTACTGAGTGAAGCCTTCAGAGCAAAAGACAAAAGTTGTATTTCCCTTGAATGGTCTCCCAGACAATTTCAAGAAGAAGTCAACAAAATATGCATTGATGTTAGTTATGTCAAACTTTCGAAATGTCTGTCTGACATTGGTAATGTCATGCCCAAAGCTAACGCCAATGATAAGACTGACATTTAAACTGGAAAATATTTCTNCGCGTAGCAGTTACATGATATTTTCTGTATGTAACCTATGAATAAAAAGAAATGAACAAGAAATTTCAAGTACCTAATTCTGATCATTTTCACGGGAAAATAATCAAAAAGCAGGAAGACAGTTATTGAGTATTGCGGTTTTGATTTTTTTTTTGAAGTACGTATAAGATATAGTTTTTGAAGCCAGGTGGTAGTTTATAATATGTTCTAGATCTATTGAATGACAAACAAAACTTGAAAAGTCATCTTTTGTGAGAATGTAACGAAATTGGATTGTCTTGTCTCAAATTTACATCATGGGCTTGATGACTACGTTACCTACTGTATTATAATGGTATGATGAAACTTACACATTTTTGGAGAAATCGCCCATTTTTCCAGTTGTGTTATTCAATATTTTAGTGCTTCTAGTTTCGCCTGCGAAACCCAAATATGAATTTTGGATGGCAAAAACAGATTATTACAAAAAATGTCAATTTCCCAAATTTTTTAAACTCATTTCCATTTTCAATTTTTTACTTTTGACGGCACGTGTCAATAAGAAACAGAAACAAATATAATGATGAAACTGAACAGACGAATATTAAAAACAGAGTGGAAAATTTTACTTACTTATGGAAATAGTTATGGCTGCACAAGAAAAAGGTTATTTCGAAATATTACTTGTCAAAAAGTCAAAGCAATATCAGGGGTATAGTTATCATTTGGATGATAACTGGTGTATACGAACTGAAGCCTTTGGTCGTGTGTGGCCTTAGAAATTAATGGTCATTAATCAAATTTCTATGTTATGGGTTGTCAGATGGTCTTTATTGTTGCTCGACAGCTTTGTCATCAGATGGTTGTCGATTGGTAACCGTGAGTGGTACTCATTGAATCAACAACTACGTGAGCGTTGACTATCGACCTTTGCTAGGAATCGCATATTAAAAGGCAATACCTCGTTAATTTCCAGATAAACAATCACATTTTGAACTCTCCCTTTTTTATTGGTTTCTTTTTGGATAACTTTACTATCAACGCTGGTGTTCTCTATCAAGTACCTATTAGAAGAAACCAAAAATCGAATATTTTCTATGAATTGATGGATGTAGCCGTTACTACGTGGAAAGAAATCATAATGAAGAAAAGGGAATTGAAACTTTCTATTTTTTTTACTATTTTTATTTATATTATAT